CCCCAAAACCCCAAAACCCCAAAACCCCAAAACCCCAAAACCCCAAATTTTAACAAACTTGCTGAAAATATTAATGTAAAACTTTGTTAGATGATGGTCATTGGTTCAGCTTCGAAAAGGACGTCGCAGCTGTATTCACAGTCTTCTCAAACTTTTCTAATAGTCTTAAGCGACTGTCTCATGCTAGAGCAACTAAAATACTCTAAGAGATTGATAATAGCTTCATACATGGCTTCTAATCTTTCCTTCTCTTTTGAACTATATCCTCCCTTAGCTTGAATACTAAACACAAGGGTTTGAATACGATATATACGATCTTGTTCTACTGAGGCAAAATCATTAGACTCGAATCTTCATTGTTTGAAGCCAACGGTTGTGCATTCGTAACTGTTTTCTAAAATGCTGAATAATCTCACATTTTTAATTTTCATCGAAATTATGTACAATTTTTTGGAAGCAATCTTTACTATATTTTCTTTCTCTGGTTCCATATCCAGAACTTTGTGATTGTAGTAGCCAGTTAAGTGAAGCTCTCTAGCTCTCCAGTTTTGGCCAATCCAATGATCGAGAAGGTGAGGTACATGATCATAATGCAAATAGACATAGTCAATACTGGGGAGTTTTACAGTGCACACTTTTCAAAGTCGATTGATTGGGTCATCATCATCTCTTCTGAAGTGCTAAGGTCTAAGCATTTCATCGTTTCGAATTTTAGAGCGATAACTTTGTTCATGCATCATTCTGAGATGATCTTAGCTGCTGTTTTATAATTTACCGGCATGTGATTAATGATTTCTTTTATAGCTTCCTCGTACTCATAATACAGATTCTGGAAGTCTTTCGAGAGTTGGCATAACAACCCTTTCCATCCCTCTGGCCATCAATAGTATGGTAATATGTTGCAAATAATGCTAAATCTTCAGAACATCTTTTGTCTGGGTGAAAATTAGTTTTATAAAATCCTCAATATTTTAGCTAAACTAAGGGGTTTTGGGGTTTTGGGGTTTTGGGGTTTTGGGG